AGACTTATGTAATTGTCAAAAACTGACTGACGATCAATGTAAGAAAGGCGATCCAAGTGATAAAACACCTCCAACGCCTGCGCCTCAGAATCCAGGGAACATCACCACTTCAACAGCCACTGCGCCATTGTCCACTCGAAATCCCAACACTCCACTCTCAAATCTTCAATGCGGTTTCGGATATTCACTAACGGGCTTTTCCAATAACGGCTTTACAGAGACAACATGCAAATCAGCAAAGTATTGTGTTTCTCTTAGTGCCAAAAATGGTAATTGAACGTCCTTATTGTTGTTCAACATCTGACACTGATTTTTATGCTATTCCGCTGCGTGCTCCTCCCCGGCCGTATGTGGGCAATCAGCGTTTCCCTTCTTCCCATCCAACATTTTAAACAGCAACCACTCCTCCACCTTGGATAAACTGTTACTTAAGAACGACAAACAGAAGAAACTCGGAAGATTGATCCATTGTCCACATAATTTGTTGTTATCAATTTATCAGTTGTGCCAATGGAATGGATTAAATATGATCAAACAACATTTTGAAAAAATCACTGAATAAATATGGACGAGTGATGCGCAAATCGATCGACGACGATGTATCACTCCCCATTTCAGAACCACTGGCCTATGTTTCAAAATGATATAATGGTTTCCAAAAAAACTGTCACAAGTCTTAATCAAATATTCAATGAAAACAGCTCAAACTATCTTTATCGAATCCTATAACAAGTTATTCATATTTCAGTCAGCTACATAATTTAATTCTCACATAGAATAAAAAACGACAGTTCAGTTGTCAATAAGGATAAATTATTTCCTTTCTTATACCGTAATCATCGAATATCTTTAATCGAACATCTTCAGAATATTATATCTTGATGAAATGTTTTTTAAACTTTTTCAGCGTTTCCACCGTTGTCAGCTGAATTGCTATTTTGTGATCAGGAAATGGGATCGATAGGTCAAATCATCACTGCTAACTATTCTTGTGAGGTAAGTATTTAGATTGGTTATTGATTATTCGATAAAATTTTCCATGAAATGAACGTTACTGCTTTGCAGACCATCGTGAGAGAGAGCGATAGATGCATGAAAAATGATGTATCAATTGCCAATGTGAAAATGAATGCTGAAATTTGTTGCTGTGCAACAGACTTATGTAATTGTCAAAAACTGACTGACGATCAATGTAAGAAAGGTACTCCATCTGACAAAACATCTCCAACTCCGGGACATCAGAATTCACACAGCACTTCAGGAGTACCGTACGAATGTCGCCTATCTAGCTATGTTATGTTTTTGTTAATTATGACTAAATATAACTTGTATTTGCGTCCCTAAACCATGTTCTATAGTTATATCCGACTTATATCGGATGGTCGGACTGTTATAAACATTATTAAATAAAGGTTTTCCTGAACTTAACTTTTTGAAACATTTCTGAGTTGATTAATCAATTGCTAACGTTGACAATCCTCGTTCATTAATAGTTTCACTACAGATGAACTGCTGCACGGAATTCTTTTTCCGATGATAATATAGCAAAAAATGTTAGCGCGATTCTGCATGATTATTGCGGTGATTGCTATGAGGTGATCCTCTCGTGAATTCCGAATTAAATCTTACTGCCAAATTTGCGTTGTGTGATCTAAAGTTTGAATGCATTACCGTTCCGCAGCACAACAAATTAATCGCTATCTTTCTTTCACGGTCGCCACAAACAACGTAATCATCAGTTGTTCACGCCAATTGCAATTATGAAACCAACTTTTCAGTGCTTTCTTAAAATCATGTTTTCAGTGCCATTTTAATATAATGTTGCGTCGAACTGCGATTGACAGCTTATTAAGAATAAGTGATTGGTCACAGATAACTTATTAAGTAATGTGTCATTGATAACTTATTACGCGAATGGTCAGTGATAATGTAATTATTATTTGAATGTAATAATTAATTTGTGTAGGTAATATGTGCGTTTGATGTTGGACAGAAAGAGATATAATTTGTGTGGATGTTATTTGTTTGGATAATATGAGAGTTATGTCATCATGATCGGCTTGCAAATTAGGATAGAGAATATAAGACAACGAATAGTAACAATGTATGATGAGCAACGGAATTAAATAAATAAATGCAAATTGAAATCACTGAAATAATATATTATGATTTTTGCGATTGAAGAATTAATTCTGTTTTAGAGAAACTGAGAAATCGATTTTCATGCGCAAAAAATTTGTTTGTTGATAACTGATTTGAAAATATCCATCGTTTGAATTTGGATTAATGACTAAATTGTATATTCATGTGCAATAATGATATTCTTCAACAATCGAATGATCGTTTCCAGTACTGTCGATTTGTGGAAGTGATGTTGAACTTTATTTGATGACTGCGACGAATTGTGTGAGCGCACTCAACGGCTGGACTGAATATCTTGTGATTATGAACTGTTGGTAATGATGTCTCGATGACGGTCGAGGCATCTGAGTATAGAAAAACTTGAACCGCAGTAGCTGAATGAATAGCAATTGTGTCAGATTGAGTTTTTCAATTAACGTGAAGAAATATAATTGAACCATCTACCAAACTTGAGGTGACTCGTGTAATCCGATGTTGGACAATAATCATTCAAAGTTGGGTAATTAAACCATGTAATATCGACACACCGGAAATGATATCACATAACATAATGCACATAAACTAAAAGGCATTGATACAATGTACTTGAAATCAACTATGTAACATACAAGATATATAAAATATAAATTTAGTAAATGTGAGGGTTACAATAATAAAGGATACGTAGACAAGATAAAGCTGAAGTCACGAGCGTCGGATTGAAGACAAGATTACCGAAAAAAATGTTTTTGAATATGTAGATTTATATTTAGATTTAACACAGTGATATGTGTATGATGTGTAAAAGAGGATTAAACGATGAATTATTTTGATTATTACTCCGGATGAGCGGAGCGACTTGTTAATAGCTAAACGAATGGAATAAGTGACATGTTCAGACTATAGGCAACAAACTGCTTTGAATAATATGGATTTCGTGATAG